CCTGTGATCAGTTGGTCTTTGTTAATTTTCTACTGCAAAGGACCATGTTAACTTATTCTCTCTATTGCAATGATAAAATGCTCTGACGAAAGCATCTTAAAGGAGAGGGGGTTTATTCTGGCTCACAGTTCAAGGGCAGAGTCCAACTTGGCAGGGCAGTCAAACAGCAGTAGCTTGAAGCCCATGGAACCCACAATCAGGAAAAGGAACAACAGAGGCGTGTTCCTGCTCAGCCGCTTTCTCCGCTTACACTCTGGGATCCCAGGCAGGGAGGGTGCCACCACAGTGGGCAGGCCTTCTCAATTAATTCAGTCAAGAAAACACCTAAGAGGCATGCCCAAAGGCTCAGCTCCAAGGGAACGTCAGATTCTGTCAAGTTGTTGACTAACACAGACCATCACAAGGACTGACTAAAAATATGGTTAGCTTTTTAGATTCTATAGTATCCATACTGACTACTCAACGGTTGTAGTAATTTAAAAAAAATGGCTGTTGGGCTATATACTGTTTATTAGCCCTAAGATTATCATGGCAGTATTATTTAACCTGCTATCACAAACAATGAGACACAGACACAGATTAGATTTATAATTGCCTTATTTACCTTGGGCCAGGCAGATGTTTCACTTATGCTGTCTCAGTATCCTCACCATCCATCTCCCAGCCCCCATCCAACACCATCCACCTTAATCCTCCTCAATTGGACTACCTTTCATCCATAATTCCATGGTACTTGCTTATATTCTTCATCTGGGCCTTTTCTTTTTTTTTAATTTATATATTTTTTACGTTAATCACAGGTTATTTACTTTGTATCCCAGCCATAGCCCCTCCCTCATTCCTTCCCAATCCCACCCTCCCTCCCTCATCTTCTCCCTGCCCCTTTCCAGGTCCACTAATAGGGGAGCCTTTTGTTTTAAATTCATTTTTCTTTCTGTCAACTTTACTTTTATACAATCCAGGATTCCCTGCCTAGGGAATGGCAACACCCACAGTGGGCAGGTCTTCCCACTGTGATTAATAGGATAAAGGTAATCACTCACAGACCAAGCTAACCTAGACAGTCTCTCTTTGAAAGTCCCTTTCCAGATGATTCTAGATTGTGTCAAGTTGACAATTAAAACTGATCATCACAAACACCCATCCTACTATGCTGCCCTCACTCTCCTTCCATTAACCTAACATAACCCTGAAAGAATAAGCCAGCCAATAAAAGCTGAGTTTTCTAGGAAATGGAGTTTATTCTTTTGAGCCACACAGTTTTTCAAAGTTTGCACAGGACAAGATCAGTTTGCTTCAAGAAAATTCCTGTCACAACATTTGGCCTGTCACTTGTTACTCCATGAGGCTAAGGAAAGCTTCTCCAAATGACCTCCCTCTTGTTTTCTCTTTTCTAATAAGGGTGTGGACACCTGATCAATAAGCTTGACCAAACTGCAAAGAAGATGTTTGGGGTGAAAAATGCCTTCTCTGAGGATTTCGAAGGAATCTGAAGCCTGAATATTTTGGTAGCGATGAGCAGGTGAAAATGAAGGAAACATGGTAAGAACTGAAGGTTTGGAGAGTAATTGAGCTGATCTCAAGGTCTGAGCAGGAAGGGGAAGGAAGCAGAACCCAGAACTGGAGATGGAAAAATGGAAGGCTGGGGACGGGCTGTGCTAGTTTGCAGTCGGAGCTGGAGTTCAGATCTGCTCCTGTTTAGCTTGTAGACAAAGCAGATAAAATTTCCTTGGGACTCTAGATTTCAGTGAATTCCACACGTTTGTTGAAAGCCTATTGTATAGGCTTCCAAGCTGTCTGGTAAAGGGAAGTCTGTGTAGGTTGCTTACACCTAATAGAAGATGGATCCGCCCATGTCTGTAGTCACACAGCTCTTTATCCACCTCCGCCAGCAGCTAACTTCACACCGCATTGTTAAGGAGGACTAAAAATCTGTCCAAAATTGCATCTCCTGTTCTCTCAGGCAGCACCAGCACATCCCTGCTAGTGACTATTCTGTTGCTGTGATAGAAGAATCCAACAGAAACGTGAAGTAGGGGAGAAAGGGCTTGTTTGGGGCTCATGGTCCCAGAGGAGCCACAGTCCACCATGAAGAGGAAGGCATGGCAGCAGGGACATGAGGCCAGGCTGTCAGGAGACAGGGAGAACAGGAAGCTGGGCTGGGCCCTAAAGCCTCCAGGCCCAAGGGCTGGAGACATGGCTCAGAGGACTTGGGTGCAATTCCCAGTGCTCACAGGGCAGCTCACAGATATGTGTAATTTAAGCCCCACAGAGTTCAGTTAGCTCTTCTGGCCCCTGCCGACACTGCACACACACGGTACATAGACATACATGCAGGCAAAACACTCATACATGTAAAATAAAAGTTAAATACATCTTTAAAATCAAAACCCTTAAGGCCCATTCCCATTGACAGTCTTCCTCCAGAAGTCCTTATCTCCTCTTAACGTGCTCACCTAGGAGGTAGGTGTATCTGTCTGTGTACCCTGTATGTGCATAATTATAATAAAATTTAATATATAAATTAACCGCAAATGAGCAACACCTGACAACAGATCTTCTGAACCTCAACGTACAATTTTTTCCCTTCCCATACCACATTAAGAGCGTTCACCTCTGTGCTCAAAGAAGGTACTTTGCAGCTTTCCTTGGTCATAATCAATAGAACCGTCCCGACTCTTGTACTTTGGCATCATCAGTAAATAAAATATCTGAGCTACGCTTCCTGAGATACCTGCACTCAAGCACTGTGGCACAGAAATCGCCATCTGCTCCCTCTGGGAGCTTGAGTAATCACCAGTAGGTGGGCTGCACTGTGGACAGGAGGGCCCTGAGCACTCACTGCCCGAACAGTGCGGGAAAAACACAGGGAGATTCGCCACAGTACTCCAAGAGCTGGCCCCAGTGGCGCGACCCCGAACTTCCAGCTGCTACGAAAGGTCAGTCAGTAGGAGGAATTCTTATGTCTTGGAGTGTGAGACTAATATAGTGAGACCCTGTCTCACAAACATAAACTTGCTGGGCACGGGCCTGGTGGCGTATGCCTGTGACCACAGCCAGCACTTAGAAGACTGAGACAGGAGGAATGCTGTGATTTATTTTTATTTTTATTTTTATTTTTATTTTTATTTTTATTTTTGTAACACAGGTCACATAGCTCAAGCTGGCCTCTAACTGGCTGCGCAGCTGCCTTTATCTCATCCCTCTGCTTCCTGCACTGTAGCACATTTCTGCTTTATTAATGTCCTTTGATAAATAGAGGTTTCTAATTCTCAGGAAGTCAAAATTTATCAACTTCCTTTACGGTTACTGATTTCTTTCTTAACACAAATGAACAAATAAAACAAAAAAGATTTATTTTATTTTTAAGAGTGTGTGTGTATATCTGTGTGTGCATGCAAGGGCACATGCACACACCTGTCCTTGAAGGCCAGAGGCCTGTCACATCTCCCTGTAGGTTGAATGCTGGGAACTGTCTCTCCAGCTCCTGGCTATGGCTGTCGGAATTCTATCTCAGAAATATTTGCCCAGTTTAAGATCGTCAAGATTTTCTCTCAGACACTAGGGAGGTCTGGTTTTCTGTTGAGACCTGTTCAGGCTCATGAACTATCTCAGTTGACCTTCGCGTGTGGCGATGACTCAGCCCTGTCCCCAGTTACCCTGTAAAACTTGTTGGAAAGTTTCCTTTCCCTGGTGTTGTTTTGCTCTTTTATCAGAAGTCAGTTGACCTCTCTGGGGCTTGAAGCCTCATCGCACGTGGTCTTTATGAGTTCCATTTCTCTGCTGAGATTCCTCATTTGTTTGTGTCTTCTTCTACACCCCTGACCTGATTATTCAGCCATGCTAAAGTCTACCATGTTATTGATTTATTGTTTCTTAGTGCTAAATCAGCCTTGGTGCTTATCCCTGTGATATTGACCTGGATCCTTTATGCTATTTTCTTCTGCAGTGACCACAGCTTAACCTTTAGCAGCAGAAGAGGCTGGGAAACTTTGTAGGAATAGGGCGTTCTCTCCTGGATCCAGCGCTTCCAGTTTTGTCCATCTTATTCCTGACTCCCACACTATGTCCAGAGTTCCTTGGCAAGTTGTGAACCTTGTTTCACCACAGTGATTGTATCACTGTAGCCCTCTTGATATGAATGGCCAATATCTTGAGCCTCAGGCTACCATTTTATCACAAGGGCTCTTGGTGCCCCATTATGTATTAAGACAGAATGTTTATAAGGAGATGAATCAACAGGATGCCCCAAGGGGAGGTACAACATTCCATCTTGCCAGAAAGTTCCTTAAACTTAGCAAGTAAACAATTCAAAATAGCTTTAGGAAGTTCCTAAAACTGACCAAACTCACTAGGCTTCTTCCTTCCCAAGTGCATGCAAGCAGTAAGGAATGCTCAAAGACTTTCTCAGGTAAACTGAACTACCTAGAAGAGGCTCAGACCAGCCAAGCATCCCAGAAGAAGCAGAGACCTCTGGACCAACTTTACCGTCCCAAGCTGCCTATGGGTTGTAGAAGATGCTCCAGGTTTCCCACCTTTGTGAACTGTCACCAGGAGGGGTAGGTTTTGGTTTTACACCTCTCTTTTGAGTCACTTCTGCTCTTTCAAGTAACCCGTCACCCGTGTTTCTGAAAGTAATTGCAATAAAACCCTGGACTCTGGTGGTTTCTGTAATTTGGTCTGTTGTCAGTTCCTTACCTGAAGTAAATAAACATGTTTTCACATCTTCACAAAACAGGGCTACAGATCCAGATTCAGAATAGGTATACAACAGAGCAACTATTCTTTTTTTTTTTTAATTTTTATTTTTTTTTGGGGGGGGCAATCAAATCATGTTTATTGAGTGCCTGTTACGTGCTGAATATTGTTCCTGGGACACAGCAGAGAATAAAACAAGTAGCCCTGCCCCTGTGGAGCGCAGTGTGTCACGTATCACCACACCGCCTGCTTTGGGCAGGTCACTGCAGCTCTCTGCCCGCCGGGCGCGGCTGGGTGCCCCTGCAGATGCTGCTGTGGCCAAGCTCCTGCCCCACCACCCAGACAGCACAGAGGGCTGCAGGTCCATCTTTAATACTCGGGTTCGGAGGAAGGGAGCCGAAGCGAGCTATGCGAGCTGCTGCTGCTGCTGCTTGGTGGCGGCCTTGCTGGCCAGGTCCTTGGCCTTCTCGGTAGCTGCCAGTGCTGTCTCCTTTGCCTTCTCTTTGGCCTCTTTGGCTGTCTCAACAAGCGTTTTGGAAGGGGCCTCACCTTGTAACTTGGCCAAGATGTACTCAAAGCCCTTCATTGTCTTGGTCACATTGCTTTTGAACCAGGGAAGACCAAATTCCTGGACAGCTCTGGAGACACCAAACAGGCTAGAGGAGACCCAGGCTTCCCGGCGGATTTCGGTCCAGCCACTGTTGTCGGCGTTCACACGGTAAACACACCGCTCCTCCACCACCATCAGCCAGGCGTGGTTGATGTTCCAGGTGAAGGTGGTCATGGTCTGATTCTGTGGGTCCACAACAGAATCCTAGAGGATGTACACCGAGTGAGCGACGTTGGCAGGAAATAGTCGCTCTGCCCACCGTGGCATCCTGTTGGTCTTGGTCAGGAGTCTCCTGGACAGAAGCTTCTGGTCAGGGGTCACCTCCCGGTGCACAATGTCTTCGGTTAAGACATGTTTGCTACAGAGCAACTATTCTTAACATTAGTTATGACCCTTGCTCAGGTGTGAGAACCTTTGAGGGTTCCTAAGTGAGTTCTTGAGGTCTCCAAATCAGAGCTGGGCATTCAACATACCTGACTGAACTCTAGGTGCCTTCTGCCACCTCTTTTCAGCCTGCAGCCCTACAAGAGAAACTCTTCGTGGGGTCTTGTGGAGTCTCACCAAGTGACTTGCTCAAGCTCAGCCCAACCTCCAGCCAAGGACAGAAAGGTCCCTTGAGGACTCCTGGACACCTCCCCACTGCATACCTTCCCTTTGTGTGCTGCCTCAAGCACAGCCTTCTCAGGGGTACTGAGCTCCACTCTCCACCTCCTCAGCTCAGCAAGCCTGCGTTTGTGTTTGAGGCTCACTCTTTGCCTATGGTTCTGAGTGTCCCTACAGGATGCCGAGCTCATGTGTTCCTGTACTCTCCAGGATCATAGTCCAGGGCTTCCTGGTGTCGCATGCAAGTGGTCTAGGTTAAGGCTTGCTCAGGACAGGAAAACTAGCCTGACACCAATCATTCCGATCATGGCTGCCTCAGTTAGTGTTTGGCGAGGGAGTAGGTGTTAAACGTCACCAAAAGGAGTTAGATTAGAAGGACATCAGACATTTAGAAGTCATGTCAGATCAAAAGCTGAGTGAGGGCTGGAGAGATGGCTCAGTGGTTAAGAGCACTAGCTGCCCTCCCAGAGGACCCAGCTTCAATTCCCAGCACCTGTGTAGCAGCTCACAGATATCTCTAACTCCAGCCCCGTGAGCTCCAGTCCTCCTCTGGTGTGCAGACATACCTGCAGACAAAACACTGATGCTCATAAAATAAATAATAGTTTTTAAAAATTGAGTAAAGCCAACTGGAGGTGCAGCTCAGTGGTAGAGCACAAGCCTCATGTGCCCCAGGCTGGGCTCGATCATCAGCACTGCAAACACAAAATAAACAATAATAATTGTAAGGGTCCCGGCAGAAAACTCTGACACTTAGACACTTGGAGCTTTGACCTTATTCTGATCTAACACCTTGAGCTCCTGCAACTGTCTGGTTCCCCAGTTCAGTGTGTCCTTGGAGCTTTTGACAATTCTCTTAGTTGGTACTGTTGGCTACATTTCTCATTTCCCTCCTCTGACTCTTCAGTGCTCGCTGCCTGCCCAACTGTTTAAACAACAGAAAATGACAAAACTTCCACACTTTAAGCTCTAGTCCAACACCTTTCCTTTTTTGTTGTTGTTTGTGTGTGTTTGAGACAAGGTCATAGATGGCCATCTAAACCAGGCTGGCCGTGAACATCATTTTTCTTTTCTTTCATTCTTTTTTATTTTTCTTTCTTTCTTTCTTTCTTTCTTTCTTTCTTTCTTTCTTTCTTTCTTTCTTTCTTTCTTTCCTTCCTTCCTTCCTTCCTTCCTTCCTTCCTTCCTTCTTTCCTCCTTCCTTCCTTCTTCCTTCCTTCCTTCCTTCCTTCCTTCCTTCCTTCCTTCCTTCCTTCTTTTCTTTATTTCTTTTTTTTTTTTTTTTTTGATACAGGGTCTCACTATGTAGACCAGGCTGGCCTTGAACTCAGAGAGATCCCCCTGCCCTCTAAGTGCTGGAATTAAAGTTGTGTCTTTGGCCTTGAATGAATGAATGAATTATAGGTAAGGATGACCTCATACTCTGTACAGTCCTGTCTCTACCTTCCGGGGTGAAGACTTTAGAGTGTAGCACCCCACTCGTCTAACCTGTCATGATTTCCCTGACTCCTGGCCCCAGCTTCCTCTGCCCACCCAACAGCTCAGCCCCTATGGAGGTGGCTCACATCCCACTCTTGCATTTTTGGGTGCTCCAGGTCCTGTTGACACCAGATCTCATGAGAGCCCTCTAATAGGGCTGCAGCCCTTCCTGTAACCCCGAGCCAGGCCATCCTTTACCCCTCAGAGGGACCACTTCTCAGAGCCCTCTGGGCCGGCTAATCCTCCTGAGAGCTGTGTCCTGTTCTCCAGCACAGCTTCCCAGGCGGGGGAGGGGCCTCTTCTTGATCCTAGGCTCTAGCAAAGTGCTGCCTAGGGAGGTATTTGCAGAAGCTTTCCAGGGCTTTCTCGGCATGAATATTTGATGTTTCTGCAGTGAGCGAGAGTGTTGAATGAGAAGGAAGTCATCGCTGTCCCCCTGCTGCACTCGGGCAAGGAGCTGGGCCTTGAGAGTGGGACTCTGCCTTCCTCCAACCCGCACAGAGCTGTGCCCCTCCCCTGAGCAGCCCACCTTCCCCAAGCAGGTGAGCGGGTCTGTCGCCAGGCCAGTGGTATTCTTGCTTGCTGGCTGCTTGCTTGCTGGCTGCTTGCTGGCGTGCGTCCTGGGGACTCCAAGTGCACCTTACAATCCGCTTTGTCACTTGAGTCCCCACACCCACTTCCGCCAGTCACTGCAGACAAGGGCTTCCTGCCTGACATCACCTCACTGGTCTCTGCTTAGGGAAGACACTCCGGCAAGTGTCACTCGCTTTAGATCCTGATCCCTAGCGGGGGCTGTGTCCACCCTCCTGACCTCAGCGGAAAGCTTTATGATCTGCCACTGCTACCTGTGCAGCTAAACCCCAAGCCAGGATGATGAAAATGACTAAAATGTTATGAAATGCCCTGGGTAGGAAATCTTGTAGGATAGTTTACGTGAATTCACATATTTTACAATGAAACAGGCCTGTGAAGTATGTTTCTTATATTACAGATGATCAGTCTGAGGCCCAAAGAGGTCAGGAATCTGCCTAAAGTCACACAGTGACTTGCAGAGCTGAGTGTCAGACTCCTTGGAACTGGAGTTACAGACAGTGGTGAGCTACCATGTGAGTGCTGGGAATTGAACCTGGGTCCTGTGGAAGAACAGACAGTGCTCTTAACCACTGAGCCTTCTCTCCAGGCCCAGTGGTGCACACTTGTAATCCCAGCACTTGAGGAGTAGAGGCAGAAGAGTCAGGAATTCCAGGTCAACATCAGCTATATACTACGTGAGTTTGAGGTCAGCAGGGCTACCTGAAAACTTGTCTCTAAACCGAACCGAACCAAAAAGAATCAAGCCTAGGCTATCTGCCTCCAAAGTCAATATAGGTACTTTGTACAGCATTCTGTCACTCAAAATAACAAGATATATAATCTGTGTTCTTAGAATTTACAGATGGTAGTTCGTGACAGTGGAAAGGGCCTGTGTGGTACAGTGACTGTAGGGACTGACTCCATTTCCTGAATGAGGAAATGGGGTTTGGACAGGATGAGCAAGGCAGTGACAGACTGCGGGTGAGCAGAGCCAGGCCCAGCTCTGTCCACTGAAAGGCAGTCAGAACTGGCTTCCTGCTGGTCATGATGTTCCCAGCACTTAGGAGCCCACAAATGAATCCCAGGTGATAGCTGTGTGGGGTGTGGGTTGGACTGAGGGGTGTGGGCGGGATTCAGCAGGAAAATAAGAGCTGGAGGCCCTAAGAGGCTCAAACAGGATTGCCGCCTTCACCACACCAAGAAAAGGGAAGGAAGAAACAGGAAATAACCAGAGGAAACAGGAAGTAAGCCAGATGGAGGCCTAAATGCTACCCTGGAGCCAAGCTTCCTTTATTTTCTCCCTCCACTGAGTTTTCAGCTTGAACAGTTCCAGGGGATGCATCATCTGGGCCTCTATAAAGCTGTGCCTGGTTTTGATATCTTCACTCAAGCTGTTCCCACTGCCTGGAGTGCCTCCTCACTCCCACATTCAGCTGGCTGCCTTCCGTTCGCCTCCAGAACTCTGTTTAGGGGACCCCCGGAAAACCGTCATTAAGCCCTACTCTCATGACCAGTCCAGCTCTCTGGATGAACAGGAATGGCTTACCTTGGCACTGATGCCATCTGTGGGAGGCACTGCCTCAGAGTCGACTTTGATACATTTATCATCTTTACTGTGGATCTTAAATGTCCTCCAAAGGCCCACATGTCAAAGGTTCAGTCCTCAGGAGGTGGTAGCAAGAGGTGGTAGGCCTTTTAGAAGGTGGGGTCCAGGAGAGGCATGCAAATCATTGAGGGTACACCCTACTAAAGGACTCTGGGGTCCCAACATCTTCTCTTTCCCTCCTCACTAATGTTGCAAGGGAGTTTTGTTTGGTCACATGATCCCACCACAATGCATTACTTCAACACAGGTCCCCAAACAATGATGTCAATCAATTACCAACTGGAACCTTCAAAACCAAGGGTCAAATGACCTTTATAAGCTGATTCTCTCAGGTATGCTGTTATAGCAACTAGCAACGGGCAGCTAATGAGTACAATCTTTGTATCTTTGGGCTTTGACCCGGCTGGGTACTCTGTGAGCCAGCTGAAAGAATGGTGATGCATTGCAGAGGGAATGTGGAGGCTACAACATGATGGCAGGATGGCTCTTCCTGGCTGAAAGGCCTTGAGGCTAAGTTATCACTGTGGGTCAGGGTGAAAGAGTCAGGCCTGGCTTGCTGGCTGTGTTTCCTCCTCTAAATGAAGGTGACAAGGTCACCTAATTAGAACAAGATTTTTTAAAGCTCTTGCTTCGTTCTAGTTTTGATTATGCGTATGCAGTTGTGAGTGCAGGAGGCCAGAGGTGGCAGATTCCCCGGAGCTGGAGTTATACGGGGTTGTGAGCTGCCAAATGTGGGTACTGGGAACTGTTCTTTGTCCTCATAAGAGTAGTGCACGCTCTTAACTGCTGAGCCACCTCTCCACCTCCTCCATCTGCTCCTTAAATCCAAGCAAGAGAACATGTAGCAGAGATACTGGTTCTTCCAGAGCTGGAAAGAACTCTCAAGTTGGTCTTACTCAGCACCAAGGAGGCTGGGGCAGGATGATCATGAGTTCAAAGACAGTTTGTGCTACAAGGTAAGACTTCGTCAAATAAAACAACCAATCAGTGTGGCGGCTCAGACCTATAATTCCAGTACTTGGGAGCTGAGGCAGGAGGATCTACCATCAGTGAGTGTTTAATGGCCACAGAGTGAGGCTGTATCATAACAAACAACC